CTGGAAGTAGGCGGGGCTTGGCGTCCATCTGCCCCGTGCACTAGGGCTCTCCTGAAGCCTCAGTCTGCTGTCTTCCGGGGTCTGAAGTCTCCTGGGACACAGTGGGGGGCTGGGAGAAAGAGGAGAGGAGGTGGGAGCTTGGCCCGCCCCTCGCTCCCCTCAACACACACACGCACACGCTCTTGCTCACGCCCAGGAGAGGCTGGGTGTGTCTAGGAAGCAGTCTTGGTTTCCTTGTCCCGGCGGGGTCTTTTCCAATCCCCCTCCCCTCCCTTCCGCCCTCATTCTGACTCCCTGCGGGCCTAGGTGCAGCCCGGTGACCTTCCTCCGCCCGCACCAGTCACAGGGGCCGGCACAAGAGGAGCACCAGGTGGGTTCATGAAACCTGTGGCCGAGAGTAGGGTAAACCGAGGCTACCCGCGGTGGGCAGGGTGTCCGTGGCCAGCGGCCACTCCTGAGTGACCTTGGGGAAGTCCCCTGCCCGCACTCCTGAGTCTCAACATGGCCCAGTAGAGCGTGAAGCCAGCGGTTGTCTGCGCGCCAGGGCCTGCGACTTTGGCAAAGGTGGCGGGGAAGCCTTGTTCCAGCGGACTTCCCGGCAGGGGGAAGGCCCACGGTTCAAGCCTGTAACAAAGGAGTCTGCTGCCTGCCTCCGGTTCTCCATTCACTTACTGAGGCACGCGGATTCCAGGGAATGACCCACGTCACTGCCCCTTTCACGGCTGACAACACTGAGGCCGAGAGGCCCCATCCAGAGACAGGCAGTGGAAATGCAGAAAGGATGGCCCACCAATGCTCTACTCTAGTCTGAGCTGGTGGGAGGCATGCCCCGTCCTGCCAGGCTGAAGAGAGATCTCCAGTGGAGTACATGGCGGGTTGCAAGCATTCCTTCACAGATGAGCAGGGTCTTGGCGGGTTTGTGAGTGGCCTGGCACATTGCGGTGGGCAGACAAGAGGTCTCTGGGCCATGGGAGGAAGGACCAAGGGCTGAAGAGTGGCCATAGCCACAGGTGGAGAGAGCAAGGTGATCCAGGAGCGTATGGTCCCACCACTTGGCAACAAACAGGGCAGGCAGGCCAGGCCCTGAGCAGGAGGGATCTAATCTTGTGCTGGGTGTCTCTGGGCCAGCCCTTCCCCCTCTCTGGGCCTCAGTTTCCTTATCTGTACCTGTAGCTGAGGGAAGGCAGTGCTGCCTGGGCTCAAGCAGGAAGAGAAGCGCCTTGTTGACTTCCTCCCCAGAGCCTAGATTTCCTGTTCAGCCACATCTAGGGGAATTGGAAGGCTGAGGGCTGGTCTTCCCTCACTCATTCCCCACTCACTGGGTAGCGTCACAGCCATTGCCAAGCCCAGTTTTACACCTGATAAATGGGGCAAGACCTGCCCAGCCTCTCTCCCAGCGTTGTTGGTAATTTGTAGTGCCCGGTAGTGCCCAAAAGACAGCCTTCACTTGGTCCACCTGCCCTTGACCCCCTGCAGTACAGCCCAGGGCCCTTACCCAACCCCACCACAGATGTGCACACACCCACCTGGACCTCTCCTACACGCCCTGCACACATACATGACTCCACAGTCACAGGAATATGGTGGTGTGTACACTTACCTGTGTCACACGGACCCATCTGCTATTGAACCCACTGGCAGGGCCTCCATATTGCATAACTTGGGTGGCAGCTCTGTACATGTGCATGTGTGCAGACTCACACACTGCTCCATGGAATGCGCACTGAGAGACCCAGGCATGCAGAGAGGCCAGTGCAGAGTGCACGTGTATTCCCACGTACTTGAGTGCCCTGGGACATAAACACATGCCAATGAATACACAGGTCTCACCCAGGCCCAGCTCAGCCCCAGAGCTATTCTGGGCCAGGCCCGAGGCCAACAAGGTCAGAGACTGCCAGCTCCCAACAGGCCCCAGCCACTGTGTCACAGGCCTAGGCCAGCCAGCCCCCAACCCCAGCCCAGGCTGAGTCCAAGATGCACTGGATCTCAGCCTGGCTCTGTGACTAGGGGGATCCTCACTCCCTACCCTCTGCTTCCCCAGAGCTGAACCTTGAGCTCTGGGGTTTCAGGCTCCAGAAGAGAATGTCCACAGGGTCCCCTGGCCCCTGCCAAATGACTCTGCCCACAGCTTCCAGCCCAGAGGCCCTGGAGGCTGGACTGGATCCCTACAGGAAACCCAAAGGAGCTAAAAATAATACACAAGGGACAAACAGGATTCTGCAGGCCAGCGTTCATGCCACCATGCATGGAGGGAACACTGTCTTCCAGGGAAGCCAGGCTGGAGAGCATGGGTGTCCAGAGCTCCGCCACCCCAGACCTGATGGGCCCAACTGGGAGTGGGGTGCAGGAATATATGGGGACCCTCATAAGAAGTAGAAACAGTACTGGACAGTGAGCAGAGCTCTGGGTTAGGAGCTGAAAACTGAGTTTGAGGCCCCAGTTCCTGAGTGACCTTAGGTAGGACACAACCCCTCTCTGGGCCTCAATTCTTCACAAGTAAACAGGGGGAGGAATAAAAAGGTGGAAAAGGCTTTAGCTTTCAGGATGTCCCTCTCACTATGGTGTTTAACACTGGAAAACTGGAAACACGCAAATATTCGAGAATAAGGAACTGATTGAACCAAGTATAGTTGGGTTTCATACAATGTAATTTCACACTGCCTTTAACAACAGTGACAGCAATAATCATAACGACTTGCATTTACTGAAGGCTTGTAACGTGCAGGTGCCACGATACTGTAGTTATACCCATTTTACAGATGAGGGATTGAAGCTTGGAGAGGTTCAGTAGCCCACTAAGAGCTCACAGCTGTCAATATGACCATGACCCATAAGTCTCCATTTTCAGCTTTAATAACTTCAGAAGTATAAAACTACAAATTTACAAGAAACATAATTTGAAAGTTTCATTCCTTATATTTTCTTTATGCTAATTTCATCGTGAATTTTGGATAACTTTAATTTTTTTCTGTCAAGTTTTGCCATCTCCAAAGGGCAAAAAAGGAAATTTAAATAATTAAACTTTCAAAGGGTGTCTCTTGTAAGTTTGCAGTTTTATACTTCTGAGGTTATTAAAGCTTAAAACTGCACTAAGCTTTTTGGGCCATCTTGTTATTTTAAGTCAGCTTGACTCCAAAGCCTGCATGACAGTATTGACACTGTGTTTGGGGGATGTGGGGATCTAGGATGTTGTATTGGGAAAAAGCTCTGGGAAAAAGGTATATGATAAATAGCATACAGTGACATTTCAGCTGTGTTCAACAGCCTGCTGAGAGGTAAAGCACACTTGGAGCAGAGGCCATATCAGGGGACACTGCGGACACACATGATGGTGTTCCCTTTCAGATTTCTTCACTGGGCTTTCCCTACCTGTTGGATGGAAAGAAGCGACGACACCCTCCCCTCCTGGGCTGAGCTGTCCCATCAAGGAGAGCCAGCTTGTACTCATCACTCCCATAATCGTTAGATCATATAATCCTCCCATCAGCTCTGTGATGAGAGTCTTGCCCTCTGCATTCCATAGATGAGGACATCAAAGCAGAGAGGAGTAATGGTTTACTCAAGGCCACTGTCAAGCTCACTAACCTCAGCCCAGTCCAGCCAAGGCTTCTCTGACCCCATTGTCCCAAGGGTGACCTCCCTGGCTGGTCAGTGTGGCTTTCCTAACAGAAGGCCTGAAGAAATGGTGGGCAGAGAGCTGCAGCAAGTGATTTGGGCTTCAGTGAAATTCTTGTTTGCCTGACGAGGGCAAGCCTGGGGAGTGTGGGGTGGCCCAGCCCACCCAGTCCCCAGACTTTGCCACCCACTGTCAAGGGTTTTCTCGATGGACCAGCTGTCCTTTGCCAGTGGTTTTCTCATTTTCCTGCCTGCCCTGTCATCTCCTAGCCCTGACGCCTGTAGGTATCTGCAGCTGGCCTTCTCCTCTCTGCTGCAGCCTGCCTTGGTCCTTGCCCATCTATGGCACCACCAGGCAGGAGCCACAAAAGACTCTGGATCTACAGGGTCCCCAGTTCTGAGGGCAGGCCCAAGGCCCAAAGCACCCCAGCCTGCACAGGTCTCCACTGGTGCCCTTGGTGATGAGGAATGCAGGGGTCCAACACCTGGGCTGCTTCTCAGATTAATAATAATGGAAGGAAGGAAGGAAAGGAGAGAGGGGGAGGATGGATCAGAGGAGCCTCCCTATCGCAGGCCTCCCCACTCCTCTTCCAAAGTCCTCCCCAGGTCTCCCCAGCTCCTCCGAGCCTCCCTCCCTCAGTCCCTGGGTTGTCAAGGCTCACTCTGAGGTCAGGACCAGAGTGCAGTGTGGGCCAGGTTCAGTGTGAGGTCAGGGTCATAGCTCAGACTGGAGTGAGAGTCAGAGCTCAGGCTGGGGCAGAGGCTGAGGATCAATCAGAAACAGAACATGGTCCTCCAGCCCTTCCAGGGGGAGCCCACCCTGTCCTGTGGGGTCACAGATGCTGGCTCCTTCAGGAACCTTCCATCACACCCGCAGCTGGCTACTCTGACCATGCCATCCCCTGTTCCCCCTCTCCCTCCCCCCTGCTCTGGTGTCCAGGGTGACCAGAGCTGCCTCTGGGCAGGAAGCCAGCCCAGAAAGCCCAGGATATCCTCGAGCACCTGTCACCATGGCAACCTGCCTGCCATGCCATTCCCAACACCCCCAATCTGGGTCCAGTACAGTTTTTCAAATTCAGAACGTCAGAATGGGAAGGGCCTCCTAGATCAGCAGATTCCAGCCCCTCCCTTTTGTCCCAAATGAATAAACTGAGGCCGGAGTGGGGAAGGGAAGGTGGGACCTGTTGTTCAAGGACCTGACCCCATCCTGTCCTCCCTCCCACCCACTCCCGGCCCTATGTCGGTCTCGGCCGGGTTAGGGGAGTGCGGAGTCTGGAGTGTGATCTCCGGAGAGGGGCGGGCCCTCCACCCAGAGTGGTGTGGGAGCGGGCAGCACGGGAACCAGACACCGACAATGAATAAATGATGCCCACTCGCAGCCTGCCTGAGACCAGATCGCCACCGCCGAGCGCCGGCTGGCCCGGGGGTTAGTCACCGAGCCAAGGCGGCCCGGCAGGCATCCCTCGGCTCCCCTTGACCTGCTGCCGAGCTGCGCGGAGCGCGCGAAGATGGCGGGGCAGCGGCTAGGCGCGGGGCCGCTCTGGGCGCTGGGCGGCGCCGCCCTGGGGGTTTGCCTCGCGGGGGTCGCCGGGCAGCTGGTGGAGGTGAGGCGGGGCGGCGCGGAGGGGCTCGGGGTGGCTGTCACCCTCCAGGCAGAGGGTTGGGGGGCGCCTTTCTGACCAGGAGCTGATTTTTCCCTTCCTCTTGCCCTAGAGGACCTGACTTAATGGGGAGACACAGCTCTATCCCAAGTGCTTCCAGGCTGTGGAGGAGACCCAGCCCCCAATCTTAGTGTCCTTGGTCGGATGGGAGGGCACACCCTCTGATTTCAGGAACATTATTCTGATGGGGGAGACTCACCCTGACCTTAGGGATTCCCGGTCTGATTGGAGATACAGCCGGGCATCAGCGAGTGTCTGATGGGGGACACTCAGCCCCTATTCTAATCTTTGGTCTAGTGAGGTCGAAGGTGGTGGGTGGGAGGCAGGAGGGTGAGGACATCCTTCCTAGAGCAGCCATGTGTTGAGTTAGACTCCATGCTGCACACTAGGCCCTGGAGGGGAGGGGCAAGCAGGGCAGGGCCCAAGGACTCAGGGTCTCACTTGGTCCTGGTGATAACTGGGAGCTAGCAAACGTTTCTGAGCGGGCAAGAGTCATGAGTCCTGGTTTGGAAGGAGAATAAATCAGAAGAGGGCACACAGTTGGGAGAACTGTAAGGAGCTGCTAAGATCGCCCAGGAAGAGGTGAAGAGGACGGCTGGGGGGTTGGCCAGGAGCCTGGCTGGGGCCAGGGAGGGAAGGGTGGGGGCCATCTGCAGCCTCCTTGGCTGGCCCCTCTGTACCCCATTCCTGCTAAGCCAGGAAGGGGAGTCAAAAAGGCTGACCAGACCCAAAATTCTGGAGCATTAGGCTGGAGGGAGAAGGCCCAAGAGGCAGGACAAGGGAGGAGTGGGGTCAGAGCCTTGCAGGCAGTGGCAGAGTGGAGACAGCAGGGAAACAGAAGTGTAAGAGACAGCCAAGCACCCAGGAGAGCCCTCAAGGGGCAGGTGCTGGGGGACAAGATGGGAGAGGGAGAACAGGGCACTTGTTCCGTGGGGTCTGAGGGGACACAGCCCTGAACTGGTGGGTCTGAGGTACATGGAGACAGAGCCCTGCACCCCGTTCCTGCTGCTGACCAGGGGGTGTGATCAGAAGGCTGGGCTGGAGTCAGATGTCAGCTCTAGTGTCCCTGTAAGGGGAGCCAGGCTGGCTTGAGCCCCATGGAGTGTACTTGGTCCCCTCACCAGCTGCCCTGAGGCCTCAGGCGCAGAAACTGAGCTGGTCTGGGTGTAGGAGAAGCCTGAGCGTGGGGGTCAACTCACTTCTGAGCCAAGGATTCTTCCCTCAGCCCCCAGGAAAACATCTTTTCCCAGCCCATCAAGGGAAACTGCATTTCAAGTCCATCTGCCTGCCATCTGCCTACAGCCTGAACGAGGCCCTGGCTGAGTCCAGGCGATCCAGGGAAGCACCAGAAAGATGAGCAGGGCTAGGGTCCATGGCACCACCCACCCCACCCACAGGCATCACCCTCCATCAGCCTGTGAGGTTCTGTTGGAGGCCAGGCCTCCAAGCTTGAGTTCAGACCCCTAGCAGTGCCCACAAGGAGATGCCCAACTGTTACCTATTTCCCTCTACCCAAGACCCCTATCAGGGTGTCTTGAACAAAGCTGGAACAAGAATGTGTAAGAAGTGAGCTCTTGGCTGCCCAGGCTCTGAATCTGAGATCTTTACCGTGGCCCTCAGAATCTTCCAGTTATACAACCCAACTGGGCCAACACACTGAGCCTTAGTTTCAGGGAACCCTGCCACTGCCCAGACCTTGGCCCTGACTCTACAGATGGGTGCCCAACCACATGCATGTGTATCCAACCGCACGTGCCCTATACCCACAGTGCCCAGCCCTAACCCCATATGTGTGCCCCAACCCCACACACATGGGCCAGACCCCACAGACATGTGTCTGAGCCCGCAAATGGGTCCAGGCCCCTGGGATGATGCTGAGGAAGGATATCTTGTCAGTTTTACCACTCAGGTTGTGTAGAGAGCTTCCCAGAGGCTGCTGGAACCATCCCACTCAGATGGAGAAACCGAGGCCTAGAGAAAAGAAGTCTCCTACCCCAGTTTGCCTTGGTTAAGAGAAAAGAGCCAGGAATCATGTACCACTCCTGGGCACACAGATCCTCTGGGTTACCTGGGACAGGTTGCTGATCCTCTCCAAGTGTCCCCAATACATGCTGAAGGGTGGTGTCCATTAGATGAAGAAGTACCTGGCTTTTGGTAGGTGCCCCATCCATGCTTATGGACCAGAGGAAAGACTGGACAGATGGTTGAGCTGCGGGTTGCTTTTCCTTCCCAGAGAGCTGGAAGAGACTCCTCATGTCTGTCCTTATTTGGTTAATCAGGGAACAAGGCACTGCACAGATGCCCCAGGATCCCCTCTCCCTCCAAGTACTAACCCCCATCCACACCCCTCAGCCAAACTTGGTGACAGAGATAGGGTCATATCCCTCTCAGCCCCACAGGTCATGCATAGGTCTTGCTCCCACCCACCAGAGCAGGGCCATGTCCCCTCAGACTCCCAGGACAGGGTGGTGTCCTACTGGGAAGGTGGGAAGTGGCGCGCTGTGCTCTGCTCACGATTGCTCCAGCCGTGCTTACAGCTTTTGGCCTCCAGGTGTCGCTACTGCATTTCAGACAAATTCTAGACCCGTTTTGTGAGGATTCTCGCCTAGCCTTCTGGGCAGAGGCGGTGACTCAGGTAGGACAGGTGACTGCTGAGGCCACCTGGTGGGAGTCCTGGTCAAGTAACAGAGTCACGGAGCCCTGACTCCAGTTCCACACCCCACTCCACACTGGAGGCACGTGTGAACAAAGTCCCACAGGACAGGACTCGCCTTGTCTCTGGCCTTGGTCCTGAGACCCCATCTGCCAGTGTGGAGGAGCCCAGGGCCAGAGCAGGAGGAGAGAAGGGCCCTTGAACCTGACTGGGACAAGCCATCCACCTTTGCCCCTTGGGCTTTGGTTTCCTCAAGCATCAACCCTTGCACTCCAAGTTCCCAGCTCCATGGTTCTGGGGCTTTACCCTCTTCCCGTTCTAAATCTGGAACTTCCCAAGGTCTGAGGCATTGTTTATGAATGTCTAAGACACTTGATTCTAGGAGATTCTGAAATGTTTGGACTGAGTGAGTGCTTGCTGAGACCTGGGCCTCTCTCGGCCCCGTCCCAGCCCCTGGCCTCTGCCTGGCTCATTCCACTCTCTCCTGACCCACAGCCCAGCACGGCCCCACCCAAGCCCAAGCCGCCCCCGCTGACCAAGGAGACGGTGGTGTTCTGGGATATGCGCCTGTGGCACGTGGTGGGCATCTTCTCGCTCTTCGTGTTGTCCATCAGTGAGTAGCTGCTCCCCCCATCACCACCCCCTGCCGCTGCCACAACACAGCGGGAGCCCGGCACCACCTCATCACCCCTCCACGCCCCCGCTCCACCCCCAGGGGCTCAGAGCAGCAATTCCGGGCAGTGCAGGCAGGCCAGGCGCCCACAGGAGGCCCGCTGTGGTTTCTGGCACCTCCTGATCCACACAAAGTCCCTGTGGAGGGCTGACAGGCCGGTGGTGACCTGAAGTATTCTGCCCGACCGGCGATGCAGCCACACGGCAATTATGGTAATTACAGGAGACTCCACTGAACCAGGATGAAGACGTGTCATTTTTCCCTATCGTTGGCCTCCTCATGCTTTTTCTGCAGTTTGGCCAGCTTAAAACACCCACACCCAGGGGCCCCAGCAAGGCCACCCTTGGCTGCAGCTCAGCCCAAAGGCTCCCCAGACACCCAGCAAAAGTGGCTCCCAGGCTGCAAACCCTGCACTGTCAAATACCATTTCCCTGTAATGACTCACCTACCTCAGTCAAAAGCAGGAGACCCCCTTCTTCTCTTGGACCTGGGAGTTGCTTGATGCGAAGTCGCAACAGAAGCCGGTTTGGCATGCTCCCTTCAGTTGTCCTTCCAGAGTTGGGGTCTGGAGTTGGGGAAAAGGGGGCCGAGAAACGCCGACTGGATGGCAGAGGCCACCAGGGTACACAGCAGAGTCTGACAGAGGTTCCTACAGGCCAAAGGGAGGAGTGGGGCACAGGCAGTAAAGAGAAAGAAAACACACTCCCCCAGCGAAGAGTTCATGGAGGAGGGGGTCCTCCAAGCTGTAGATCGGTAGGATGGATGAGTGGTTTTGTGTTAGGCAGCTGGAAAGGCATTACAGGCAGAGGTACAGTGTGGGCAGAGGTGCAAGGAAATGGCCTCCACACAGGTCTCAGATAACCCCCATAAGACGTTTACTGAGTGCACCCCGGTCAGGGGCTAAAGGAGCATTTAAGTTCTAGCTGGAGCTATCCTGGGGGCAGGGCTGATCACAAGGGCCCATCCAGATGCGGGGGCTCCAGGGGAGACAAGGACCTCTAATTTGCATGTGCTTCTCCTGGCACCAGAAGTGCCCTTCCACGCCCCCATGTCTTCCCGGCTGGAGTGGGAGCAAGAGCCTGCATTTTGTTCCTAGCCACGGCCAATGATCAGTCAGGCTTCTGAGTGGAGGCCCCACAGAAAAACAGCTGTGACTGCAGCCCCAGCTCAGGTGTCCAGAGAGGGGAATAACCCCCAGTACCAAGAGGCAGGGTTGGGGGAGGTATCTGCCCTGCAGGGGCCACAGGAGCAATCCAGGGTGCAGGTCCAAGGAGCAGCTCTGGGGCACCCCAAGAAGCAGGGATGAGGGCACCATGGGGCCTCAAGACACACAATGGTTTCTCCAGGGCTCTGCTTGGCCCTAGATGGTAGAAGTACCTGGGGCCACATAGGAAAGTTGCAGTGTCAGGCCCAAAAAGGCACTTGGACCTCAACCACACAGACTGACTTCCACTCCTAAACCCATTTCCTAGAGAAAGGTAAGGGATAGTCCCAAAGGCCTCTGAGCAACAGTTTAGCATTTGTTACCCTCTATGCAGGGCTCTAGGGAGTAGGGAACGCCATCTCCTGGGGAGGAAACATCTTTCCCACTTCCCTGTCTGCTTGGGCCTAGGTGGTACAGCTGTTTGTGGAGCATCACCCCCAGAACCTTGTGGAGAGAGCTGGAGTTGGATGGGGTACTTCTTCGGGGTCCCCTCCAGCCTGGGGACTCCTATCCCAAGCTCCTGCCTGGGCCTGGAACTCGATCCAAGGAACTTTGTTTCTCTCCTCTTTGAAGAGAAGCAAACAGGCCAGGCTGGGTGGGGCAGGCCTGGAGTGAGGGGCGGTGCTTGAGTCCTGCTCTGACTGCCAATAGCTGTGGCTGAGCTCCCTTTAAAGCCCAGGCCTCCATGGTCATGGTCCTGAGGAGGCACCTGGTGGGGTAGCTGGAAGAGGTGGTCCAAGCCAGTAGGGTGGAGGTCTAACCTTGGACCTCTGGCATACAGGGGTCTGGAGAGGACCAGAACCCAGGTTTTTGGGTAAGAAAGGCAGACCTACTGCTGAGACTCTTGCACAACTAACCCCCCACCATGTGTTCCTGGATGCTGTTGACACCCCATCCATTTATTCAGGAGTCCAGTCCTGTCCTCAGCCACAAAGGCTTTGAAACCATCTCATTCATTTGTTTTCTTTCTTTCTGTGAGTCTGGGGGAGACTCAGTGGGACCACAACATTGGCTGAAGGGGTTGCACAAGATGACCCCAAGGGGTGCTCCAGCCCAGGCCACATGGGTCTGATCTATCTTCCCCAAAATAGGCCTGACTTGTCCGCCTGGCCCTCCTGCCCCTAGGAGTCTGTCAGGAAGTTATGTCTGGTCATCTGATTTATAATAGGAAGCAGCTCCATCCCCTCCCCTGAGGCTGGGGCCAAGGTGGTCAGATTGTAGGGGCCTTAGAAAAATAAACTCAGTCCAGCCGGGTCCTGGCAGCCCTGCCCTGCCCATCCCTAGACAGGCCAGCTCCATGCCCTGGCCAGCTTGCGTGGGCACAGCTGCCCTGAGCCAGAAAACCACTCCTGGAATAACCCTGTCTAAGGTGAACGCGCCGGGGCAAGGTCTGTGCCCTCTTTCACGCTCTCACAGCCAGGAGCAGCCCTGGCTTGTCCTCAGGGAGGTTGAGGAGGATGCAGCCATGTCCTCCAGGGTCTGAGGTGCTCTCAGGAGCCTGGGGAGGAAAAACTAGGATGCACAGGAGCCCAGAGGCCTGGGTTAGAAGCACAGGACACCCTGCAGGAGGCTGTAGCTTGAGTCATGGTCCAGGCCACTGCCTGCCCTCCAGGACCCCTCAGTCTAGTCAGAAAGACCCACCAGAACCAGGACTGGTAACACAATATACGGGGCCAGTGCAAAATGAAATTGTGAGCCCCTCTGTTCAAAAATCATTAAGAACTTCAAGGAAGTGACAGCAGAATAACAAACCAAGCACAAGGCCCTCCTGAAAGTGGGCCTACTATGTGAAGCCAGCCCGGCTCAGGAAAGATATTTTGAAAATCCCAGAGCCCACAGGGGTTTTGTCAAAATGTGGAGCCTCCTGAGAGGGTCTCTTGGGTGGGACACACATAGGTAGATGGAGACAGGCCTGAAATTTGGGAACCAATCCTGGGGTGTCTGAGCTCTGGCCCTTGCCAAGCCTGCTCTGTTTCCCCGTAGTTATCACTCTTTGCTGTGTCTTCAACTGCCGCGTGCCACGGACCCGGAAGGAGATTGAAGCCCGGTACCTACAGCGAAAGGCAGCCAAGATGTACACGGACAAACTAGAGACTGTGCCACCCCTCAACGAGCTCACAGAAGTCCCTGGAGGTGAGCAGGCCTGGCCCCCAGCCCCACCACCCTCTGACTCTGCTACACTGGCCAGTTCCTCCATCCTGCCACCCAGAGTTGCCCTATTCCTCCCCTCCACCTGGTTCAGGGAGGGGACCCAGCCCTGTTTTTGGAGACCAGAGCAAAGAAATGGGTCAGAGTGAGGCAGGGAAAACAAGGAGCTATTCTGCAGGTAGGAGAGGTTTGGAAGGAAGAAGGAATGAAGGGCTGGACTGGGAGGCTCTGGTGCAGGCCCTAGGACCCTGTCTCACTCCTGTTGCACCCTTTTTCCTCTGCTCCACAGATGATAAGAAGAAGAAGAAGAAGAAGGACAGTGTGGATACAGTGGCCATCAAGGTAGAGGAGGATGAGAAGAATGAGGCCAAGAAGTAGAAAGAAGAGAAATGAAGAGAGCTTCCTGGAGGTGGAGGCTGGGGCTAGCTGGCCCTGGGGCTCATAGTCCTGGCCAGAGTCCAGACATCTTAGACTCCAAGCTCATACATGGACCATAGAGGTTGCAGAACACCCTCTCCCTGCTCAGAGGGGGTTGCTGAGGCCCAGGACCCTGTCCTAGAGCCTACTGGGGCAAGGATATGACTTCACTAGGTGTGCTGCCTCCCAGCCTGGACTCCACTCCTGTCACCCCATCCAAGTGGCCACTCAGCAGAGGTGGTCTTGGGCCACTGTCCCTCTGTAGATCCAAAGTGGCCTCTACCCACCCATACATGCCTCTGTCCCCTCTTCTGCCAGGCACAGCAGTGGCTAAAGGGGTAATGGGATGTGGGTTTCCTTCTGGAAGGGGATGGCTGACCCGGATGGGCTAGATGTGAGGCCACACCAGGCTGGCCATGAGGAGGGAGAGGGTCACTGGGGGAAGCAGGGGCAGCAGAAGGTTCTCGAACTTAGCTGGATAGCAGCTCTGGTGGTGAGGGGGCTGCCCCAAGCCTGGCAGGGGTTCTGTCCCAGGGCAGTGAGCAGAGGGAGACCAGAAGCAGAACGCCCAGCATAGCAGATCCCGAGCTCTAAGCAATAGGTACACTTGTCTTACACGCTGTGATGCAGCTGAGGCTGCTGGAGGGCCTAGCATGAGGCCCATGGCTCAGGGCTAGGGGCTGCAGGGGTGCAGAAGGCTGAGGCCAGTGGGCCAGAGAGAGAAGGGCCCCATCCTGGGAATCCAGGGAAAATTTGAGAAGCCAAGGGGAACTTCGGGTTTCTCTGCTGGCCCTTTCTAGGCTCAGCTGTGGTAGCAGGTGTCAGCGCCCCAGGAGATCACCGCAGGGGGCAGTTAGGGATTGAGGTAGCAACCAGCCTTCCACGTGCTGAATATAACAGCACAGAGCTTCCTCTTCCATTCTTAACAACGGTGCCTAAAAGCACTGCTAGGCGAAGGCTCAAACTTGACCTGGGGACTGAATCCTTGGGGAGGGGAGATGCAGAGAAGGGTTTCTAGATGGCAGCGAACATCAACTGAGGTACTCAGACCTGGGCCTGGAGACTAAGGAGACACCAGAGATTTCCGAGCCAGGGGGAGCTGCTGGCAAAGCCGACACTGCCTCTGCAGCCTGCAGAGATTTGTAAATAAAGCTGAGTGCCTTCTCATACCCTAGTGACCTGAGATGACCCCTCAGGATGCCCCATCCCTGGAGCATTTACGTGGAGGGTGATGCAGTGATCGATGATAGGTGGTGTAGGCCAGGCTGACGTTCCCTCTCCTGACTTTTCTCCCAGCCTGAATTCAGATGAGCTGGAGGGAGAGGTGGTGGCCAAGAGGCAGAGGGTCAGCTACAGCCAGTGGGGCCTAGCCCTGAGGCAGGGCAGCAGGACCAGGGAGGAAGCTGCCTGCTCTCCACTTGCCTCTGCTCCACACCCTGGGTTTCAATAAGTGGGTGCTTGGGACACAGAGGAGTCAAACCTGGATTCTGATCTGGACCTGGACCATTATTACACAAGAAGAGGGAACCAGGCTGGCATGGGGGAAGGAGCATGGGGTCTTACAGCCATGAGGGAGCAGAGAGATTACAGAAGGCCCTGCTGTGGAAGCTGAGTACTCACTGCGCCACCAAGTGGGAACCCTGACTCTGCCCTTGGGCTCCAGCCTATGGGCTTCTCATACATATGGCTGTGGCAAAGATCATTCTACTCATACAAGCCAGAGCCCTCCTGTTGGCTGGGCAGCAGAAGCCCAGAGGAGCAGGAGCCACTATAAGTCAGAGAAGCAGCTGGTAATGCCTGGGGTAAGTCCAGGCCCGGGTTACATCTGCCCTGCCAGCTGCCTCCCTGACCTCTGACCTGGGCCTCCACTAGCCCTTTATGGACAGGCATGTCTGATGATGGTGGGGATAATATCTGATCCCAGTGGGCATCTGCCCCAGTCTCCAGACAGGGGACAGGGCTGGAAGGTCAAAGTCCACTACAGTGCTTCAGGGCAAAAACAGGGTATGTTCTAGCCACCAGCCAGAAGATGGGCCAAAGTCAAGGAGAACACACTTACCTCCCCAGCCCAGACAGAGCTGCACCCTTATTCCCAGCCTCACATTGTGTCCTGGCAGCTCCAGCTTCAGCCTGACTCTCCATCATCTGACCCCAGTATCTAGGCCCTCCATCATCGGACCCCAATATCATCCCTACACACTCCCTCCACCTTCTGTGGTAGCCACCCTGAACCTTTGGATGGAGGCGGATCCTGGGGCTCTGTACTTTTCAGGATAAACTGCCCATCCCACCACTGTCTGGTTCTCTCATCTCCCACTGGAGCAGGCCCAGGAAGGAGGAAGCATGGGGAAGAGAAACATTTAATTGAGCACCTAGTCTCTGCCCTGCCTTGTGGGGCTGTGAGAGCTGCACAGAGGGTGAGGAGGGGCCTGGGCAAGGGAGGGTGCACCCAGAGACAACGGCACGAGTGTCAGAGGACAGCGAGGAGGTTGAGGGGCAGCAGGAGTGCCAGGATCAGGGCCCTGGATGGGGCTGGCAGAGTCTGCCCATTGAGGAGTTCCCACTACTGGCAGGAGGAGAGCTGTAGGTAGATGGGCAGGGCCTTGCTCTTCTTGCAGCCTGGGCCCCAGCTCACCATTCCCACCAGGTACCGTACGCTCTCCACAGGACAGGCCAAGGGCTCACCACTTATCTCTTGTGGGGAGGGGTGGGGGAAACAAAAAAAGGAGGCCAGATGTGGTCCAAGGGAGACTTAATCCAGCTCAGGAAGAAGCAGGGTGCCCTCACATCAGACCTTCCCTGCAGCCCCCGAGTGTCACATAGCTGAGGGGTGCCCTTGAGGTCCTGACCCAGGAGACCTTCCTCAAAGGGCTCCACCTCCCATCTTTCTCTTGCCAGTTCTCCATCCCCCATCTCTTTAACACCCACCCTCCATCTTCCCACTACCTCCCATTCTTCTCCCTCATCTCCAACCTCCATCCCCTCTCCCCATCTCTCTCACCCCAACCTTCATCTCTTTCCTCCCAATCTCCATTCCTCATCAAATCTCCCCTCCCCCATCTTCCTATCTTCCCCCTCAGTCAGCCCTGCTCATCCCCATCCCCTTCCCCACCTCCCCGCAGGTCCTGGCTTCCCTGTGCCCCCAGCCCCATTCCTGGCCAGCTGCCCTTGGAGGCAAGTGAGCAAGGGGGAGAGATGCTCACATAGCAGAACTGTTCCTGTTGACGTCCTTTGCAGAAATCACCTGGGAGCTGATGATCTGAATCAGAGGGGATTTTGGAGAACCTGTGGTAGAGGCGCTCACACTCCGTGCTGTTTAGGATAGTGACTTCCTTCTCCTGGATGGTCCTGAACTGGGGCCACACACCTGTGGGACAGGGGCCCCCATTCAGGCTTGGCGGTTTCGCTCCTGCCCACTGCCGCCAGCTTTGTGTCCATCCTCCCTTTGTTCTTCGCCACTCCTCTGGCCTCTTCTTGCCACACAGCAGCTCTGGAGATCTCTCCAGGCATAGGCCACCCACCACTCCAGCTGATGCCTCCCAAGGGCCCCTTGACATAGAGACCTTGGGAGCAGGCTACCCATGATCTGGCCTTGTTGGACCTGGTCTCACATCCTGCAGAGTACTATCCATTGAGTCCATTCTGATCTCAGCATCTTGGCTCTTGTGTTCCTTCTATCCCCAAAGCCTACCAGGCCCATCTAAGGTCCAAATCCTGCCTTTTCTTCAAGCTTTCCCCAAAGGCCTACTTCCTTCTCTAAGCTTCCCTAGACTCCCCTCCGTGGGTCTCAGGCACTCTTTACTCCCCTCCCTGCTCTCTCAATTGTATCTCTGTCCCTAGTCTGAGCTCCTAGGGGACAGGTGACTTCCAACCATTCCCAGCCATTCCTCAGATAGGCCATGGAAGGCATGACAAAAAGCCACCCCACCCTAGGCTGGAGACCCTGTGGGTGCTTTCAGGTAAGCTGGCTCTATGAGGCCACAGGGAAGGGCACCTCTCTTGTGGGAAAAGAATAGGGGTTCCCTGAAGGAAATGGACATTCCTGGGGCTCATAAGGAAATGGTCCCTTGGACGGCCCTGGGACAACACTCCTGCCCTTTGGGCTCCTAAATTGGGATGATGAGGGATTGAGGGCCACTCCTGGGGGAGGGAGCCATGAGTGGACCCTCAGTGACTCCCAGCTTCTGGGTGCAGATTGCCCTTAGCCAGCCACATGGGATCTTCCGGGGAGCCTTTTACAGACACAGAACCCTGCTCCTCTCACCTTGGCTGTTCTGCTTCAAGACATGGATGCCCTGGGATTGTGTGCAGACAGCAAGATACTACTCTGTGCCCCCTCGACCTTCAAGGAAGTCCTATTTACAACCCTGGCCTGGGCCTGAGGGTTCCAGGGCAATCTGGGTCCCCTAAGGCCTAAATGGCCATGATACATTCACTGCTGAGACCCTCAAAGGGAAAGAGACCTCAGAGGTGAGAGCCTGATGGGGGTGGGGATGGGGTCCCTGGGGGAGGTGTCTCAGAAGTATCTGCCCATGGTAGACCCTGGCCTGCACCCAGGTCCTCTCCCACACCACCCACCCTGCTGTGGGGAGGCTCCGACTTACCATCAACCCTGGGGAGTCCCCAGCCTGTCACAGTGCAGAAGGCGTGGTCCTTTAGCGCACAGTCCAAGCCAGGCAGGCAGATGGGCCAGACATACTTGTTGTACTTGAGTGGCCGCTCAAGCTTAAGGAGGGCAATGTCATTGGCCCGGCCGACCCCGGACCAGTACCGATGGCACCGATAATGGCTGTTCACGATGACATGCTGTGCCAGGATGTCGACAGTAGACTTGGATATCTGGTCAACCCATGGACTCCCCACCCACACTGAATAGGTAACATCACTCCTAGGGGAACAGCAAGGAGAGTCCTCCATCAGCTCCAAGAACCCCACCCCAGACTGCACCCCCTACCCTCCACCACACTGTTGCACCCTGAGCAAATCCAGGTAGGCCACCCACCTGCTTCAAGCCCCAGAGCCCACTCCTCACAACAGATGTGAATGGGGCCCTGCACACACACTGTGTGGTCCAGTCCTCACAACAACCCGTCATTTTATGGAGAGGGAAAATGGGGCTCAAGTGACTGACTCAAGGCTACACAGCTAAGAAGTGTGGAGCTGGGACGTGGACCCAGTTTTCTCTGGCTCCAAACTCTGGACTCTGTCCAGCATCCCATGCTGGGCCCTGGAAGTGACAGAGACCTTGTGCAAGCAGCGCTGCCTTGCCCTCCAGCCTACTTTCTCAGCGTGTCCCTTAGGCTTGGAGCTCGCTTCTCCACTGGTCAGCCCTCATGGCCAGATGTGACCCTCAGGCCGCTCCCTGGCCCCAGAACATGGGCATGCCCGCTCTCTCATTCCCACCCTGACCAGACTCCCCTGTGAGCATCTGTCTTCTTGTCTGTCTTCCCCAGCAACCTGAGAGGAGTGGTGCAGCCCTTTTCTGCCCCCAGTGCCCAGGCCAGGCCTGGCTTCAAAGAGTGCCAAGGCTGTTGGCTGAATGAAGGAAGGAATGAGTAAGTGAAACAAAGGGTGTGGAGCAGAAGAATTAGGACATTCTTTCTGCGGATAGGAGGAAGGAGGCCTAGACAGTGGCTGCAAGCCTCCGTTTCCTATCTATGGAATGACTGCACAGGACTGGAGGGGGCCAGGTGAGGGGAAGAAACCCCCAGCTCCCAGGAAGGAATCTGCAGGACTCATCCCCCACCTGCTCAGAGCTAGGGTGAGGTGGGGCTAGGACTATGGTGTCTGCCACTGATGGGCCAGCTGGCAAGATGACTGGGGCCCTGGTGGCTCCAATGACTTTCCACCCATCCATCTAGGCCCCGACTCACTGGATCATGCAGTGGGCCACGGTCAGCACCCACTCGGAGGCAATGAGGGTGCCTGCACAGATATGTGCCATTGGCCCGCACACTGACCATCCATGGTCACCGCCGAGCCATGGCCTCCGGATCCCTGAGGGTGGTGTCCCGCTCATAGGAGAAGCCACAGGCTAAGGAGGAAAACGAAAGGAGCCTGATAACGAATGGGCCCTTCCAGCCACATCCCACAGCACCTCTCCCTCCTCCTCCCCTCAGCCTGATCTCCCACCTCTCTAGCTGGCCTGCACCCATCCAATGATTCTCCTTCTTCATTGGTCATCACATAATGATGTTGTTCACATGAGGACTGGGGTCTCCAGCCTCAGAAGGGCCTCAGCACTCCCCAGGTATCCCTCTCTCTGGTCCCACAGCTTAGGCCCCAGGGCGTTCCCAGCTGACCAGCCTGGTGCGCCACTAGCTCCTTTGTCCTGGTCAAGCAGACATCAGCTCTGGCCAGGCTCTTCACAAACCCATCTGTGTTTCCATCTGGTTCCCTTACTTCAGCCAAGGAAGACCCCTCCCCCTCCTCTAGGATCCTTCTCCTGTGATTCAGTGAGAGAAAGGCAGGTGACCTAAGAGAAAAATGGGTAGTGTGCATGAACACATACATCTGAGGACGAAACCCCAATAGCAAACAAACGCAGAAGCTCTTCAGCCCCATTAGCCCTCAGGGAAGTGTGGACTTAAGTCACAGTGAGGTTCTGCTCACCAGCACCTGCCAGGCAAAACTAAATGTCCCTGATAACAAGTGTTGGTGAGGAGCAGGGCCCCAGGCTGCTCACTCACTGCTGGAGGGAAGGTCAATGGGTGCAGCCACCCTGGAAAAGCTTTTACAGAGAAAGTTCTTTAAACGGAAGATGCACATATCCAACACCACAGCAGTCCCGCTCCTACGTGTTCCAAGTGGACTAGAGGACCGCGAGATCAATGTAAGTGGGCCGTCACCAGCGGCTGCAAAGGCTAACGCAGGAGAGGTGCAGCTGGGTCCTGTGCGTGACTTCCTGTGACAGTTAAATTCTGTGCACTCAGTTCCAGGATGAGAAGTACTTCTTATGTGGGTCTTACCTCAACATGCTTGGAAGCCACTGATGGAGAGAATGCCTTGTGGGTGTGCCCCGAGACACACAAGGGAAGGCTCCCTGAAAGCCATGCTGGAGACCCCATAAGGCCTTGGCTGGGAGCCTGGATCAGGGACTGGGCCGGATGGAGAGGTGCTGTCCCCATAGACCGTTCAGGGAGGCAGGACGTGAGCACACCCCAGGCTCCCCCCACCTTCCTTGCCTCCTACCTCAACAGCATGGGAGGCCTGGCCCACAATAGGTGCTCAATAAGCACTGGTAAAAGGAAGGTCCCCTCTCACTCTCCGTGCCCCTTCTTCCGCTGTCCCTTAAGGTCCTCAAGGCTGCTTGGGCACCCTCCTCCCAGTACTCACGGGAAAGGAACTCATCCTCGTCGGCTTTAGAAGCAGAGTACTGCAGGGTCCTGGGCGGCTGGCTAGTGGCAGCCTGCCGGGGGAAGCGACGTCCGCCTGAGGGACAGGTGGCACTGGGGGCACAGGGGGCGTCAAGGTCGGCGGGGGCATCCGTGGACAGTGCCCCCGGCACTTTGCCAGCGCCCAAGCAACCTGTGGAAGGACGCAGAGGATCAGAGGTGGAGGCCAGGCCTGTGGGGGGGGGGGCGGCACCCGCGGGCCGCAGCAGCAGCAGCAGCAGTAACAGCAGTAGCATCAGCAGGAGCCCGGCGTGGGCAAGGGCGGACGTTCGGGGGCTGCGGGGGACTGCGCCAGCCGGCCAGCGCCCCACATCCCCGAGAAGCAGCGAATAAGCCTCGGCGCTCCTCTTGCGATGCCGCTCCCGGGGCTCGCCCCACGACGGCGCCCCCAATTGGCAGCCAGCGGCAGCTTCTTTGGTGTGGGGGGCGCGGGCGCTCCCGACCCCGTCCGCGCGGCGCCCCCCACTGGCCCCCCCGCGATGGTGCTCCTGGTGTCCCAGCCGCCCTCTGTCTGGCTTGCTGGTGCTCAGGACTGCCTGGCTTCTGGCCACGCCTCTGCCCTCCTGGGACCCCGTGTCTCCCAGTCGGCCTGGCCCAGCAGTTTCCTGGAGTCCCTTAACCTCACCTCGGCCGGTTCTTGCACCTCCTCCTCCGGCAGCCCACTTCCATCCCTACCTGGTGAGATGAAGGCCCAACCCCTGGGGCTGGCATCCGGGATTTCCAAGCCGTCCCACCTGCCCTCCAGCCTGGTAATTACGGTGGGGCCTTGCCCCAGGGCACTGAAATTAAGCAGATTAAAATGTTTTCAATAATAATTTTTCAAGAGTGCATAATTTTAAGCACTGTCGCCATTCAGCAAATGCCCTTCCCTTACAGATCCATCTGCTTAGAAAGATGACACAGGTGAGGTTTCCATAAACAGAGAAAGAGGGATAGTAACCATTGGGCCCTTCTGGAGCAGAAGGCCACTTGGTATGTTGGAATTTGGGGAACATTTTGATGGCTCAGTGACACAGATGGATAATACAATTAAAAAGTAGTCTGGGGAAATCCTATGAGAAGCTTTGGTTCAAAGCTGTTGGAAAATTCTAGCCTAATAAAAGATAAGGTGAAAGTTAAATCAAGCCAGGACAGTCTAACATTTGCCAGGTCCTGCTGTCTTGGGAGAGACAATGGGGCTGGCCATTCAGTACTCCAATCTCCTGCAAACCACACCTACTACACTCTGGACCCCAAGGGCAAGGGTAGCTGGCCACTGTGAACCTGAGGCCTACCAGGTCTGAGGGGGTGCCCATGCTACCTTCCACAAGGGTGGCAGAGCTATGCCCTCTCAGTCTGGCTGGCTTGCGCCTGTCCTTCCTCTTCAGAGTATGATGGAGGTGACTAAGGCAGCTCAGGAGCTCAGGGTGCCGTCGCCTCACACAGTCACCTAAGCAGGCACTCTGCCTTGCCCCCCTCCCTGCCCCCCATCATCACCCATCCCTGCCAGGGAGAGAGGAGGAACCAGTCAGTTTCTGTAGACTCCTAGGGTGATATGAGGGCTTGGGAGAGACCCACATGTTCTGGAACCAGGTCCACAAGTGCAGGTCTGGTCATTGTGAGTTTCTTGGGAAGAGGCCAACCCTCACAGTAAGGCCTGAGGGAAAACTGCTGGGTCAGAGACCCAGGAGAGAGTCATGGGGACTTGGGAACTGCTGGAGTGCTGGGATGACTAAGCAGGGAGTGAGATCACAAAGTCCAGCTCCATATTTGGCAGAAGAGGAAACTGTAGCCCAGAGAGGGGAACATGATGAGCACAAGTACAAGGAGGACTATCAGGGAGGCTCCCCTGAGAGGACAGCCAGGCCTCTTGGGGGAGGGGAGGCTTTGAAGGGTCTGGCCATAATCAAGAAGAAAGATGATGACTTCAGTGACACAAAGTTCAAGAGCATCTTCACTGAACAACTGAAAAAACAGTGGCTCTGGGACCCTCCCCCAGAGTACTCTGCCCTGATGTCCTGTGCTCCTCCAGCCTCCACTTCTCCTGAGGACAGACAGAGGGGAGGAAGAAGTGGCCTCCGGGAGGGACTGCCCTGGAAACATCACTCACAGGAGCCACGGGGAGCCCAAGGAAACCAGCAGAATGTAGCCAGTGAGGAAGACCAGGTTCAGGAAGCCTGGCCCGGCCCTACTGACGAACCTCACATCACTGATCTGTTTCTTGATCCAGTTGGTGAAGTGGGAGGTGCTGGTGTAGATGCCCGGGAAGCGATGCCGGCTGCAGCTAAAGCTCCAGTTCAGCACCCCCACCTGAATCCAGGTGTGGTTCACTTGGCAGACAAGGGAACTGCCAGAGTTACCCTGTGGAGGAGAGGAAGGGAGGCATAAAGGAGGCAGCAGGAAGGCCTCCCTGCAAGTCCTGGACAAATAAACTTGCACCTTCCGGGGCCATATCCTTAGCACGAGCTGTGTTAGGCCCGTGCTGTCCCTGATATCAACGCATGGCTATGAACCTGCTCTGTGACATGGAAGCACTGCACTGGAGCCCAAGCTCAGGATCACAATGGGCTCTCTCTGCATTCCCCTGCTAACTCTCTGACCATAAATGCTGGTCCCCGCCTCTGCCTTCTCTTTAAATCGTGGTGGGCCTCCAAGGTGTTACCCTTGACTTTCTTCTTTCCTACAATCCTGCTTACAGAATGAGCCATTTGAAATGCAAACCTGCCCCCTCTCTCTTTGTGCAAAGCAGGTGCATGTATAAGAATAATGTTTACAACAGCATACATCAAAAAGTAGTAGCTGTTATTTCTGCTGATGGTGGGTTTATGATTTTCTTAAAACTTTCTTACATTCTTCTGTATTGTTGAAAAGTTTTATAAATCTGAAAAACAGCTCATGCTCTCCCTCCCTCCCGCCCTCCCTCCCCCACATATATGTATATTTTTTCATGTAGTGTAAACCAAGATTTATAAGACATAATCTAATGAAGAGTGCATAAAACATGTAAAGAAAAAATAATAAAACTATACTTAAGAACACAAAAGAAGACCTACATTAATGTACAGATATACCGTTGTTCTTAGATGAGGCAACTTAAAACAATGTAAAAAAGTCAGTTCTCAACATTTGGCTTCCTACAGTATGGAAGACTAGATCCCCTTTCCCACCTTGCTGAAGATAACTAAACCTGTGAGATTTTAAATGCATGGGTGAGCTAGCAAGAAAATAAAGACTCCTCAGAGTGCAAAACCCAAGGGAGGGCTAAAACACAGAGCCATCAGCAAAGCCCAGAAGATGACTTTTGCCCCAAAGCCATAGGCCAAACCCAGTGAAACTGAGCTTTGGTTTTCACAGCCTCATTCGTGGGTGCAGAAGACGAAAGGCAAAACCCAGGGCCTGCCCAAGGAGGGGAGCCTAAGAGGAAACATCCTGCAAAAAACTATACCTCCCAGAAAGGACCACACCTTCCGAGTGACGATAAACTAGGAACACCTGCCCTCATGTGAACTTGCAACTTGAATTCACACTGTCTGGGTGGTTAAAAAAAACTTGAGCCAAGAACGTCACTTAAAGAGGTCCTGGGTTGGTTTTATGTCCAGGTATCTGGCAGAAGCAAATATAGATTCTGACTGAAGGAACCCACTTTCAAGCCATGCTTCAGCGAACTCCCACAAAAAAAAACACTCTAAAGAACATGTCCTCTTAAAACATCACCCTGCACACAGGGAAGCTGAGGCACCAAGAGCAAATGCCAGCCAGCAGAAAAAAACCAAAGCAGCATCAGAGCCTTCATGGTTTGAGATTCAGTAATCATCACGTGGAAGCCTCAAAGTTTCTGGTAATGCACTATTTTATAGGCTTGGTGCTGAGGGTATGGGTGTTGGTTGTGTTATTCTTTATTCTCCATACACATTTTATAAATATTCTTTTATCTGTATTCAACAGAGAGTGAAAGAGTCAAAAATTATAACAATGTCAGTTCTCCTTATGTTGACCTCTAAAGTTCAAGCGATTCCAAATAAAATGTCAGCAGGATTTTTTCAGGACCTTGACAATCTGATTCTAGAATTGATATTGAAGGATAATAGTCCATGAATTCTATGACAGGTTTGAGAAAAAAAGAGCAAATTGGAGAGGCTGGGGACTGGAGAAACATCTAAACAGAGTTAGATATATTTCAAAGCTATAATTATAGAAACCACGGTACTAGCATAGAAACTGAAAAATAGACCAATGGGGCAATGGAGAGCCAGCCAGATGCCTGCAGGTGGAGGAAACTTGGCACATGCTCCAGAAAGTGTCATGACTGAGAAAGGAGGTCTCTGCTGTAGATGGTGGAGAAACTGATGGAGAAAAATGAAGTTGGACCCTGCCATAACAAAACTCCAGAGGAAATAAAACTCTAAATGTGAAAAGTGAGAAAGATAAAGCTAATTAAAAATGTAGGGCCATGACTTTATGACTTGGGATGAAGCACATGTTTTAAAATAAGATAAAACCCCACAAACCTGAAGAGGGCAAATGTGTTAGGCTTAATTACATCAAAGTTAAGACCATCTGTTCAATGAAAGACACCAAATCTCATTGAAGATAGATGATGAATTAAGATAGGGCATTTTCTCTGTCTAAAACCAACTAGAGGTCAATTTTAGCCTATCTAAGGAAACCCTGAAAATTAACAAGCAGAGAAAGTGAGTTGAGGAAGACTTGAAGGTTTCCATGTCTAGGCTGACCCAGTTGTCAGCTCCCAGTGTCCAGACCCCCATGCTCCAGAGGAGGGAGATGGAGTAGGGCTTGGCGAAGTTTAAATCAAATTGACTTTTATGTATTAATTTATTTTTTGGTTGCATTGGGTCTTCATTGCTGCTTTCTTTAGTTGCCGTGAGCAGGGGCCACGCTTCGTTGTGGTGCCTGGGCTTCTTATTGAGGTGGCTTCTCTTGTTGCAGAGCACCAGCTCTAGGCGCGTGGGCTTCAGTAGTTGTGGCACGCAGGCTCAGTAGTTTTGGCTCGCATGCTCTAGAGTGCAGGCTCAGTAGTTGTGCA